TAGTTTATTGTGTTCTTTAAATATTCTGGAGATCAGCCCTCTGTCAGATGTAATTTTGGTGAAGATCTTTTCCCATTCTGTCATTTTGCTGTCATTTTGTCTTAAGGACCGCATCCTTTACCCTACAAAAGCCTCTCATTTTCAAGAGGACCTATTTATTAATTGTTGCTTTCAGTGCCTGTACTACTGGTATTATATTTAGGACATGATCTCTGCTGCCAATATATTCAGACTACGTCCTACTTTCTCTTCTATCAGATTCAGAGTAACTGGATTTATGTTGAGTCTTTCATCCACTTAGACTTAAGTTTTGTGCATGGTGACAGATATGGTTCTATTTGCAATTATCTACATGTTGACATCCAGTTATGAAAGTATCATTTGTTAGATGCTCATGGATAGATAGGATTAACATCGTAAAAATGGCAATCTTACCAATAGCAATCTACAGAATCAATGCAATCCCCATAAAAATCCCAACACAATTCTTGACAGATCTGGAAAGAACATTATTCAACTTCATATGAAAAAAACAGAAGACCCAGGATAGCTAAAATAATCCTTTACAATAAGGCAACCTCTGGAAGAATCACTACCCTGACTTCATTCTCTACTATAGAGCTACAAGAATAAAAACAGCTTGGTACTGGCATAAAAACCAAAATGTGGACCAATGGTATCGAATTGAAGTCCCTGACATTAATCTACACATGTATGAACACCTAATTTTTGACGAAGAAGCAAAAATTATTCTCTATTTCTGATGGCCAACATGAATAAAAGTCCTTGTTAGAGGACTAACAAGAGCTTGTCCTGCTTGGATGGGGGCAGGGGAGAAGAGTCTGTGTCTCAAAAGAGGTGAATGGCATGTGTGATAATGACACCTGACATTGTCCTCCAACCCCTGGTGCATACACACACATGAACACAAACACACACATATCACTGTGTGCATACACACGTGCATTCAAATGTCCCACTAACACATAGTGGAGTAGAACCCATCCCATTTAACAGACAGCACTGAGAAACTGAGATATCTAATTGTACAAGACTGATAGTAGATCCCTGTCTCTCACTCTAGGCAAAACCCAACATAGAATGGATTACACTCCATTCTGGCCCCAACTAATACCCCTTCTCATATGTGAATCTGAGTTTTGAATTTTTAGATTTGTGTGTTTATCTTGCAATGCCTGTAGAGGCCAGGGAGATTGACAGGGACTTATGATGTGGGAAGGGCTTAAAAGACAGGAGTCAGTGGAACACATGTCAATAAAAATAGAGAGGTAGACTATTGTGGTGGAAATGTTTGCAGGGAGCTAGTAGTAGGGGAATGGAGAATAATACAGAGTGGAGGGGAGAGTTAATCAAAACTAATGATGTGTTAAAAGTTAACTGTAGACTGATTATTTTCTACATTAGTTGACAAGTATAATTCAGAAGAATTATAATTATAATTCACAAGAAGAGTCTGAATGGAAGTACCCTGAATGGGTAGTGCAGCTCCCAGAAGCTATAGGCAATTAAACAAAATACTAGTTTGGGGTATGTGATAAAAACACTGTGAGAAGCCCACAGGTCTCTAACACAACACACACTATTAGCATTTCTTTTGATTACTCATCAGAACCAGCTAGTAAGACCCTACTGCCAAAAACATCGTATGATTTGGACATAGGACATAGAGAAAAGAAGCCAGTAGTATAACCAGAGTTATGTTGCCCATAACTGCCTACCATGCTTATGAAAGCAACACTAATTAAACTCAGTGGGATGGACACACACAAAAAACACAGAAAGACACAGAAAAATATAGAGAGACATACACACACATACACACAATGAACACTGGAGGGAATCTTTGGAGGAAGAAAATAAGATTAAGTGGAAGAGAGATCCAAGAGAGTGATTAGGAAACCATATCATCAAAACATATTATTTGCATATATGAAATCAATAAAAGGCATCATGAAAGAAGCTTTTAATCCTGCATGCAAGAGACAGAGTTAGGAAAATTTTTGTGATATTCGGGCCATCCTTGTTTACAAAGTGAAATCCAGGGCAGTCGGTGCTTTATAGTGAAACTGTTTTGAAAGAAAAATAATGAAGCATAAAAGGATAAAAGTAAAAAAAAAAGGAAAATAAAATATTTTAAATAAACCCAATAACATTCAAGGTATTTTCATAAAAAAACTTCAAGACAGATTTCTGAAAAGTGAAGATGTGGAACAGTCCAGAAAATGAAGAAGAAAGACAGACAGAGAGAGATGAGGACAGGGGTTTAGAGAGCCAGGCAGATGGAAGGAAATCAGGAGATAACCAGTCTAAGATCACTGCTCCTGCTGACAGCCAGTTGTGCACTGGAGTCACCAGCTCACCCTCATTTGTCTGGATCTTAGCACTTCATCCACATGAGCTCCTGGGAGCAGACAGTCAGCCAGGATTATTGATAACCACATCTACCCAGGAGCAGACAGTCAAGACTGATAGTCACCACATCTTTCCAGGAGCAGAAAGTCAGTCAGTCAGGATTAATTGTCACTACATCTACCCAGGAGCAGACAGTCAGTCAAGATTAACTGTCACTACATCTACCCAGTTGCAGACAGTCAGTCGGGATTGATGGTCAGCACAACTACACTGGAGAGGACAGTCAAGACTGATGGTCACCACACTCCACTGATGTCTCAATATTTCTAATATGCTGTTTCTTTTTATACCCATCAATTGTGGGTTCTAATCTATGAAACACATCATTCCATATACCCTTATCTCAAACCACCTTTAAATGAACCACACATACACAGGGATAGGAAATTACACAGAGATTGACACCTGGGACACTTTAGTTGGGCTTTGTGGGCAACACTCCAGGAACTAGGCAGAGAGTACATCATTGTGAATACAGCTCCATCATACCTGTGGTGATATTGTGTTCCCCAAAATATTGTGCACCCTAATAAATTTTTCTGGGGTCAGTGAAGGGACATCCACTAGATAGAAAGACTAGAAAATGAGGGCACTAATGTGTTGTGGATATCACTCTATATAAAGAAAACACTGATGGCCAGTGACCAGGCAGGAAGTATAGGTGGTACAAAGAGAGAGGAAAATTGGGGAAACAGGAAGAAGGAGGAGAGACACTGCAGCCACCGCTAGGACAAGTAGCATGTAAAGACGCCGGTAAGCCACCAGCCACATGGCAAGGTATAGTTTTATAAAAATGGGTTAATTTAAGATATAAGAACAGTTAACAAAAAGCCTGCCATGGCCATACAGTTTATAAGTAATATAAGCGTCTGAGTGATTATTTTATAAGTGGATTGTGGGATGCGGGGCTTGGGGAACCTGGAGAGAAGCCCTCCAGCAAAACTCATGCCTTTAATCCTACCATTCTAGAGACAGAAATCCCCCTGGATCTCAGTGAGCTCAAGGCTACATTGGAAACAGCTAGTCATGGTGACACAAGACTTTAATCCCAAGAAGTGAGCCTTAATCCCAGGGAGTGATGGCAAAAACATAAAGATATAGAAGGCATGAAGACCAGAAACTAGAAGCATTTGGCGGGTTAAGCTTTCAGGCTTCTAGCAGCAGTTCAGCTGAGATTCATTCTGGATGAGGACTCAGAGGCTTCCAGTCTGAGGAAACAGGAT